AGGCACATATTTAATAAGAAACCTTATGTTCACAATTGCAACTCATCACTTAAGCAGAAACAAATTTTCTAAAAGCTTGGGGTTTAATATCATTAGGAAACCCATACCAAGAAACGATGCTCTTTTTCAGCCAACTTACTATCACTCGGTGGAGGAAGATTGCCCCCCAAGGAAAAGAGCTGAGAATATCAAGTTCCCGACTGGGCCCAGCAATTTGACTGATGGTAATTGCAATTTGCAATTGTTCAACTGTGTCCCGGAGAGATATGAGGCCTTTGTTGTTGTTGTTGTTGTTGTTGTTCATATCAGGGAGTTTTGTTTGCCCTGCAACACTCTTCTCATGAAGTTAAGCATCTGGTCTATGTGAGGTTAGCCCCTGTTGTCATTAATTACACAGGCTTATTTCATTCCCATGACCCTGCCAAAATACAGATTTGGCACTTATTCTTTCCCGGCCAATCAACAGACTTATTTACAGGAGACAAATATTTTGGCCAGGGTGTTTCTTTTTAAAGAGAGGGCAGGAGATTATAATGTAGTGGTGGATTTTCATAGAAGTCTATGAATTTCACATGAAGTATAGGAGCATATTGTAAATCTCATCCCTGTAAAGGAATATTCATTCACACAAGGCATTCTAGTCCAAGCTCTACCAAGGGTTTTTGTTGTGTTTAATGCCTGGACTATGATCTCAATAGTGCCCCCAAACCGTTCCCTACTCAGGATGTCCAATATTGCTCAGAAGTTCCCCAACTACTTAGTAACTTTCCTATCATAAATTCCGTCATTGTCCCTGCCTTCTGGGTGTCTGCTCCTGCATGCACATGCATGTGTGAGGGCAAACACACACACACACACACACACACACACACACACAGAGGAACTGGGCGGATCAACTTGCATTTCTGGTTGTCTACTGGGGATGAGCCCGGAGTTCAGACATTTAGCAAACTAGATGACAGCATTTTGGCTCCCCAACCTGTGAGTAGGTGGGGAACATCCAGGTACTGAGAACTTCTGTAGACAAGTACTCTAGACTCAGAGTCCAAAGCAACATCTCACTCTCTTCCTAGCCCTCACCTAGTCCCAATGTTCTTTCCTCTGCCCTAAGGACAGAGTGCCCTTGGCCTTCAGTCCATATGACCTTGCATGGGTGGCCAGACTGCAGCTTCCTTGGCTCGGATTTCATTTCAAACTCTTCACACAGAAGGGGCTTGCACAGTACAGGAGGGTGGGAAACTGTACGTGGAGGGACTTCGCAGCTGCTCCCAGCTGCTACGAAATGCCAATTTCTCCTCCTAGGAATCGAAAGGGCCTCTGCTCAGTCTGCCTCTCTAATGGATTGAAAAACAGGGCCATGATCATTCGAGGCCAGGAAATTTCAAATTTTGGTCAAGTCCGGGGAGCACTAACTCCTAAACTCTGATTTGGACTATCTTTGATCTTCCCGTATCCTCTAGAATAAAATGATTCTAGTGGTATCCTTCTCTGCTGAAATTGTCCAGACTTGCTAAAGAAAAGAAATCGAAATATAAGAAATAGACATGCTAGTGTAAGAGACTGGATAATAAATATTGCCTATCTTGCACCAAAATAATAGACTGAAATGTTATTGAATCTAAACATTTATATACATACATATGTATGTGTATGTGTACACACGTACACACACATACACACATATTTAACTACTTTATTAATAGGTATCTTTTAGCTTGCGAGAAAAAAAAGGGCATACCTTTTAGTTGGTGCAGATGGAAACAAGCAGAAGGGAGCTTCCTTATTAAATTCTAAGCTCGCCTGCTTTTGAACTACAGTAGGAGTATTCAGTCCTGACTTCCAGCAAGTATCTCAATGTTTTGAAGTTAAGGAAACTTTTTCCTTTCCTTTATGAAGCCACCATACATACAAGAGAAATGGAGACTATTCATTGCAAAGGACAGCTTTCCCGTGACACGCAAGCCACAGACATTTGTTGTACTGATACCATGTCTGCTAAATTAAGTTTGAGGAATTTTTTTTTTTAAACTCCATCAGGGTCGAGTTTCTCAGCATATAAAAATTTGCTTTTGTTGTATTTATTTTAGAGGAAGTCTATTAGGACATTTAAATTAGTAAGAATAACTTTCTTTCTAGAGATTTTGAATAATACATTTGTTTTCTTTGCCTTCACTACAAGTGTGTTCAAATGAAGGAAGTGTTTATTGCTTCACTCTTGGAAAAAACTTCATAAAGTATTTTATTTTCTTCCCAGTGAGAGTAATTGACTGAAAAAGTTCAGCAACAGGCATTTCTAACTCACAGACTCATTCTCCAAGAGACTTTCTTCAAACTTGCTAATAGCAACAGATTTGTCCCTTTGTGGGGACAGTAGGGGGCGCTGCCACCACAAACTATCATGGCTAGCTGAGTGATTTCACTGGCCAAAAAAAAAGGCTAGACATTTTAGGATTCTCCCACGTCAATGTACACCTAAAAATAATTATATAGGGTTTTCTCTTCCATAATTCACTGCTGGGTGCAAATATCTGGAATTTATTTCTGTTCATATGTGTGTGTCTGTGTTAGTGTGGTCATAAGCATGTGGTACAAATCCTGTATTGCAAAGATTGGGCTGACTCATGCAGGTCTAACTGAATCCCCCTGTTCTAAACTATTAGCCAAATATAAGTAGCTAAAATGCACTTAATATTTAAGTGGCATTCTGGGTGGGAGATTTTTTTTTTCATAGTTGAGCCTTCAGTCTTACTCACAAACATCAAACCCCAAGTTCAGAGCCAAGATGAAAGAGAACTTTGGGGAAATTTCATTAAATAATCACATAATCCAGGCTCCATAGGTTGGATTTTTTAAAAATAAGTTTCCTATGTAATTGAGTTAAACGTAAATTTATGCATCCAATAAAAAAACCACTGCAAATGGTAAAACAAAGACATTGCTCCAACACTTAGAAAATTAAATTCACCAAACCATGAAGTCTACTGTGCAGTTATTTTTGTAACCACCATAAATTGCTTTATAGAACTCTTCTGCTGGAGTAAACAATCCAAGGAGAGATTTACTTTATAGCATGCTTTCAGTTTCCAAAGGAAAGAGTGGCCTACAAGTTTATGACTCTTTTTTTCTTTTTTTTTTTTATTTCTTTTTTTAAAAAAATACTTATGTTTCTAGTTACCTTGAAACCTTCCTCCCCCTTACAGGAGCTCAGAAAGGTCCACGGAAAATAAGATCCAGGTCTGCAGATACACTGTGCCCTCAAATACTCATTTCTGGAATAAGAAGAAACAATCCTACTTTGTGGAAATAAAGTTTACATGGCAAAAGGAAAATAAAGGGTTTTAGTACTAAATATTTCACCATATTTAATAGCACCTCAGAGCCCAACGTAGTGTTAGATGTTTTAGACAGTCAGCTTGAAATGTGTTCGCTTATAGCACGGTTCGAGGCCGAATTCAATAGCAAACTGCTATAGATAAGAGTTTTAGGGGTCTTTAATCACTTCTTTCTCGTGTCCTTGATGGAAAAAACAGAACTGCCTTTGTGCTAAAAAGAAGGACCTGTTGTTTTCAGATTCAACAGGTCATTTTTATAAGAACTTCCCAGAGGATACAACATAAATGACAGAAACACAAGGGGATGTTTTAAGTGGCTGATGATTTGAAATGATATATCATCTATATTAAGGGAATGTTGTTTGTTTTTTCTTTCCAACAAATGGAAAGTTACTGTTTTAAAAGTGTTTAATGTTCAAATTCTATTTTTAGGGCCAAATCTTTTCTCTATGAGTAGATTTACTGTAAATTCGGCTCCTGAAATCAATCTGAGAGTGTAATTGGCCCCTCAAGTAAATAAACTTGTCAAATCATATCCATTTCTGTGTTGGGGATGAATGGTTAATTTAATGGGCTTTTTGAAATGTACCTAAATTGTGCTGTAATTTTCGTAACATTGTTTCAGTTAAAATAACAAACGGAATGCATATTTTATGAACAAGATAAACTTTATAAAATGGAAAACTAGCAACATAATTTTTACTGGTACTTTGAAGAAAGAAAAAAAAAAGCCAATATATTATGGCAAACAAAATCCAGGCGACACTAGATTTATTAGAATCTGGCTGATTTTATTATTAACGGTGGTCTGAATTTGAAGAGACTGGCAAATTTAAGATTAAGATCTAAGCGAAACTTATTTCCTAAACTGTATTGGCAAAGCTGTGCCAAGGTATTTTTCCCTCTTTTGTCTTCTTCTTCTTTTAATTGGCTACCTTATCTGTAAAGAGGATTGTTTGAAGATCTTTGGAAAAGTTTCTGTCAGTCAAGAGACAAAAGTTACTTTTCCCTACAAATATCAAAAGCCCTTCACAAAACTCACTCCTTGCCCTCAAACAAAAGTTACTGCCAAGCGTCCTTTAAAATACAGTGCCTGGTTGCTTTCTGTTGCTCAGACAGGCATATATTTTCCAAACTACCCAGATTCTCTGGTTCTTGACACTTTTACTAAGTCTCTATATTACTTCCCACCTAGGACAACTATCTGGCAAAAGGTCAAGGTAAATAAATACCTGATGGTAAAGACTGTGTTAACCACAGAGAACTGCCCGAAAGATAAAGAATGAAAACGGGCTTCCTTGGGAAGGGGAAGGAAATCTATTAATTGTTGAACAGGTTTCTAATTTAGAAGAGACTTTTTTTTTTCTTTTAGTTAAATACATGAATACTTTTGCAGAGCAGGAGAAAGAGACCAGACTGGCTATTTGTTGGCGAGGGATCCCCAAGGACGAAAATCATGAAGGCCAGAATTTCCCTCCCACTGTCTCCCTCAACATCCACTTCCCAGGAAGGAGAAGGCGGAGAGGGAAGAAAGAACCTTGATGATCCTTCGCCTTCTGCAAGAAGTGGGCAGGAGGGCGAACCGGGGGTCACCGAGGGCTCTCCCACGTCTTTCCCAGCCCAGGACTCCCGGATCCTTCAGCCCCCGCCCGGGCTCGCCCCGCTCACCGGTACCAGGCGAGGCCCTTCTCGTAGCTGCGGTCGAAGAAGTGAGGCTCGGCGCCCACGGCGCGCACGTCGGGGTGCACGCGCAGGAACTCCAGCAGCGCCCGCGTGCCGCCCTTCTTCACGCCGATGATGATGGCCTGCGGCAGCTGCTTGCTGCCTTCGTCCAGGAGCAGCGCCAGGGTCCCCTGCGGGGCTTCGGCCACGCTGCTTCCGGCCCCGGAGCCGCCGGGACCCCCGGCCAGGCCAGGCGACTCCTCTTCCCAGGCCGCCTCCTCGCCGTTGTCGCGCGGCGAGGGCGGCCTGCGCCTCCGCCACTGCTGCAGTTGCAGGAGGCGCTTTCTCTGTGCCGCCGCCGGCCACACCGCCAGCTCCCGCGGGCCTCCGGCCAGGACGCCGCGACCAGGGGCCCCCGCCTCCTCGCCGCCGCCGGACAGCCCCACGACGGGTCCGGACAGGGTCTGGCAGCGCTCGGCCAGGCAGTAGAAGACGTAAAGGGACGTGAGCAGGGAGCAGAGCATCAGCAAGAACTTCCGGAAGATGCTGCGGGACAGCGGCTCGGCAGAGGTGGGGAGGGCGCCGGCAGGGCCCAGAGGGGCCATCCTAGCCGGAGGCGACGTCGGACAACGCGCGGGCCATGCTAGGCCGGGACCCCGACAGGTGCCAGAGCATCCCCCCGGCGTGCCTGCGCGCTGGACGGAGGCCACATCGCCGTGCGCCTCTGCGGCCGTGCGAACTGTCCCGGGAGGCAGCGGCCGGGGCTCCGCGGGGAGACGGAGCCCCCGGGGGCCTCACGCAGGATCCCTGCCTCCAGTCGAGGGGGCGGGAAGGGGAACGCGGGTCCGTGCTTAAGAAACCATCGTCTTAGACTCGCCCAAGTCCTGAGCTTGGGGCAGCCCTCGGCCACCTGGTTCCCCCCAAGAGTCGCCGGAATCGGGGTCTTGGCAGCAGTGGCGAAAGCGTGCGTCTCAGCCCCGGCCCCGAGCGGCCTCTCGGGGCGGATGTCCGCTCAGCGATCCTGCATCCCTGGCTCAGTCCCGGGGAGGGCACGCGCGGCTGCGGCGCCTCTGCGCTCCGTGCGCTCCAGAGAGGGGCGAGCGACAGTGCCCTCCAGCTCGGGCTTCCTCTGGTCCCCTTGCCCGCCTGGGCGCGTCCTCTCCGCCCTGGTTCAGGTTCTCTTGGCCGAGGAGCGAGGTCCGCCCGAGTCCCTCTGCCAGAACGGGAGACAGAAGGCCCTTGCGGAGCCGTCCACCCCTCTCCGTGCGCGCCGGGTTGCTCCAAACTGCTCTTGTACCCCACCGGTGAGCCGCTTGGCGGGGCTGGGCTGCGCGGGACCTGTCAGCGGCCCCCGCCACTGTGCTCGCAGGCGCTCACCGGCTGCCTCCCGGGCCGCCGCCGCCGCCGCCACACGTGGGACGCCGAGGGCAGCAAACTTGCTGGTGACGTCAACGGCCCGGGCCGGACCAGCCCCAGGACTAGCGCAGCGGGGCGCGGACCAGCGGCCGGGCGGGGCCAGACGGGCGGGGTAGGATGGAGAAAAGGTGGCGCGGGCTCCGCAGCGGCCGCCCAATGGCACTGGAGAGGGCGGGGGTAGCAGGGGCGACGCCCCTTCCCCAGTGTCCCCCATTCCTCCCGGCGGCTTCGCCCCCTTCCAGTGGATCCGGGGTCTGCGGCTGCTTCGGGGTTGCCTGAGTGACAGCTAAGGCCGGCCGGATCCCTGGAGGCCTGACTTCCACCCAAGAAGCCACTAGCTTGGTGAGGAGCTCCAGAGCTCTCCACCGCAGCTCAGCCTTCCGCAGCCCTGGCCCTCTCCAGGTTCCCCGCGCTCTGCTCCTCTCTCGGCACTGTTGCCCTATCCTTCTCCATCCCACCACTTTCCATCGCCTGGAACCTACTCTTCGTCCCGTTGGAAGTTTTGTTTGCAGCAGTTTCCAGTACTGCGCTGCACGCCACGCCCCCGTTTGTCTAGCGCAAGCCGAATTCCTCTGCAGCAGCTTCGACTTCTACCTACTCAACTGTCTGCTACGGGCCTTGGAGCAAAGCTCTTTCTCCCATCAGTTTGTTTTTTGTTTGTTTGTTTGTTTTCTTTTCTTTTCTTCTTTTGATTGTTTTCCCCTGGATTTGCATAAGATGATCCAGTCCTCCAGGGCCTAGAAAGGAACAGACTCTTAGGAGAAAAACCAATGCATAAATCAAAGGCAAAATTAAAATTAAAAAAAATGCAGCTCCTATCCCAAGTCCCTATGCCCAATTTTTAATGTAGTGTGTATTTTCTTACTGTTGTTTGTACTTGTGTGTGTGTGTGTGTGCGCGCGCGCGCGCGCTCGTGCACGCTCCCAAAGGGGTTAAATGTCCTGTCATAAACGGCGGTTTCCTCTTTCTCTTGCCTCCCCTGACCTTATATCCCCTTCGTGCGCTCCCCGGAGAGCAGGTCAGGAAGGGATACAAACCGCCTTGCTGTCTAATGGAGGGAGGTGGCCTGTGGAAGATGCATTAGGTGGTTTTTTGTTCCAATCCTATTTGTTCCTTATTTCTTGACTTCCTTGCCTCCACGGGATGCCTCACCATGTGGGCGGTAGCCTGGCAGTTTCATACCAGCCGCTGCAAGCTGTGGAGGCAGCTTTCTGGGTCCACTGTGGGTACTAACAAGGGCCCACCGTAGGCTCAAGGTCCACGGTGCAGGAAACTTACCAGGCATTTCTGCGCCCCCATGCAGGAACTTCGCAGCCCTTCTGTTATTTGACCATGGAAGTGGAAGTCAGCTTCCGCTTTTTCAGCTTCCAAGGGGAACCTAGTGGTTCTAACTCTGGGCTTGCATGGATCCATGAATTTGTGCCCTGCTGGATAAATACTCACTGCTGGATATGGTTTTATGTTTATGAATTACCAATCCCAACTGATTCAACAACCATTGAAGAGCCCTTTAGATTCTGATGCCATAAAGCACTGGGCGTTTACGAGGATGGACAAGCCCTGCCAAGCTTTAACGTCCTTCTGTGTTCTAAAATTGGATATTGACAAACCAGTTGAGATCTAATGCTAACTTAAGCTTTCCTGTGTTTTCAGATTTTTTCTCTAAGTACTTCAGTCAGATTTGCAGAAGGAAGACAAAACAAAGACCATTTTTAAGTTGTTTTGAACACATGCAATTCTGCGAATTCTTATAAACATGCCCCAGTTTCCCGGACTGGAAAATGATGGGCTGGAAGTTCCCTTCTAGCTCCAACATGACATCATAGCATGCGTTTGGTCTTTCACTTTCTGAGCACAGGTCTTTCCTTTAGGTGGGAATTAAATACTTGCTCGGTTCTCACCATCACTTGCATGATATGTAGGACAGCTCTGCACCTTAGAAGCAAAATGTGAGCCACAAATAAAAGCTGCATGGGTAATTTTTAATTTCCAGTAATTTTTTGTGTGTTTTCTGAAATGGGGTCTGAGTGTCACCCAGGCTGGAGTACAGTGGCACAGTCTTGGCTCACTGCAATCTCTGCCTTCCCGGCTCAAGTGATCTTCCCACCTTAGCCTCCTGAGTAGCTGGGACTACAGGCGTGTGCCACTATACCTAGTTTTTTTGTTGTTGTTGTTTTTTGTAGAGATGGGGTTTTGCCATGTTGCCCAGGCTGATTTCTAATAAATTGTATCACCTTACAAAGGTTAAAAAAGAAGCAGAGAAAGTTATCTTTTCATAATATATCCCATCATCCAAAAAGGTGACTACAACATGTAGTCAATATAAAAATGATTGAAATCATATATGTTCTTTCTTTTCATACCAAGTCTTTGAAATCCAGTGTGAAAGAATCTTATACTTCCCGCACATCTCAGTTGGGACTAGCCACATTTCAAATGCTCAATACCCCTAGGTGGCTGGTGGCTCCCCTAGTAGACAGCACAAATGGGGATGTTGCTTTGGTGGGAGGGATGAATCTGTCAGGATCTCAACAGGAATCAGACAGCACATTCAAATTAGGATAATACATGGAGGGTTTATTTACAAAAGAACTGTTTATAAAGGACTAGAAAAGACAACAACCCCAAGCTAGTAGCTCTGGCACTGTCACTACCCTTATGTCTGAAAGAATGAGGGAAAGAATGAGGGAAAGGAAGGGTTACCACAACCAGGAGGGAACAGGTCCATAGAAGAGGCCCTTGAGAGTGGCAGCAAGTTTTCGTGGTGACACACAGCCTGTCCAAGGCACCTCTTAGAAAAGGAATCAGGGAAAGAAATGTTCTGGATAAGACAGCAGGGGATAGGTATGTGGCATTATGTTTAATCGTGATAAAAATCAAGAAGGGTGATTAAAGCCTCGTGATGACATTAGATGCAGTCACACTACACAGCCTTTTAGAAAATGTCTTCTTTCATCCACTCAGATGCTTACATTAGAATGGAAACAAGCTGGAGATGATGATTATTATGGGTCTTTGATGGAGGAAAAGTGCCTACCAAAGTACCAGAGAGCACAACAGACTTTGTTGCACAGCTTCTTCTTGTTCTTCCCTTTCTCTTTGTTATTCCATGTTTATTAGGCTTCTTCAGAGAGATACAACTAATGGGATACATGGATATAGATAGATGGATTAGAGAGAGATGATAGAGATAGAGAGATGAGAGGTTATTTACTGGGGAATCGGCTCACATGATTATGGAGGCTGAGAAGTTCCATGACAAGCCATCTGCAAGCCACAGACCGTGAATGCTGGTAGTGTAGCTCAGTCCAAGTCTGAAGGCTTCCGAGCCCAGAGAGTCAATGGTGTAAGTTCTGAGAACCGAAGGTCCACTGGTGTGAGTCTTGGAGTCCAAAAGCGAAAGAGCCTGGAATTCTGATGCCCAGTAACATGAGAAGGAGAATGTATTCCAGCTCTAGGAGGTAGATAAAGATACATTGGGCCGGGCTCAGGGGCTCATGCCTGTAATCCCAACACTTTGGGAGGCCAAGGTAGGTGGATTGCCTCAGGTCAGGAGTTCAAGACCAGTCTGGCCAACATGGCAAAACCCCGTCTCTATTAAAAATACAAAATTTAGCCAGGCATCGTGGGTGCCTGTGATCCCAACTACTTGGGAGGCTGAGGCAGGAGAATTGCTTGAACCCAGGAGGGGGAGGTTGCAGTGAGCCAAGACTGTGCCATTGCACTCCAGCCTGGGCGACAGAGTGAGATGCCATCTCAGAAAAAAAAAAAAAAAAAAAAAGACACATTCACTTTCCTCTGCTTCTGTTATGTCTAGGCCCCCCAACCAGCTGGATAGTGCCTACCCACATTGATGGTGGATCTTTTCAACTCAGTCCACTCAGGCTTACATGCTAATCTCCTCTGAAAGCATCCTTACAGAAAGAACCCAAAATGATGCCTTTTGTACATATACCTCAATCCAGTCATGTTAACACCTAAAATTCATTATCACATCATGTTAAAGCATGCTTTCAAGACCCTTGAAAGCAATAAGGCTCTGCCTTGGAAAAATCTCCAGGTTTTTCTTGCTATCACAGAAGCTGGTCTTGTGCTCGGTGGTGAAAGGGATGAGGTCTGTGTTCAGTGACTTTCAGCTTCCCTCTCTGTACCCTTCTGGCTTCCTTTACTGTGATGTCCACTCTTGCAATGCCACCCAGGGTCCTGTGAGGCCTCCCACCTTCAATCCCTTCCCGGGCCTGGATCTTATAAACCTGTTATTCTACTGTACGAGCATTTCTTACCATCTCTCATGCCCTACCACAGAGGTTTAACATTGTAAAGTAAGGAATATTCTTAAAGATGACTCACTCCCACTGACTCACATATCAATCGTTTATACTCATTCAGAAAACTTAATATACCTGAATATATAACAAACAAAACAATTACATCCATATGCACATCCACCTCTTTCTCTTTCTCTCTCTGGAAGAGAGGTGGATGTAGATATATGAGAGAGATAGATTGACAGATGGATCGATAGACAGAAAAACAGATACTTTTTTAAAAAAATACTAAAGGTTTCTAGCAGTGAGGAGAATATGGAGATCACCCACCCTTTGGCCGCCTGTAATAATGCGCATAATTGATGTGCATGAACTCATGGATAGTTCTGCTCCAAGAATTTAGAGTGCTTCACCGAAGACTTTTTACCTCCCCTTTCCCCAAAGACCCACATATCTGAGAAACAACCTTTATGGCTCTCCAGAGTCCTGCTCCTTTCCTATCTGTCTCTCAGTCACATCCTTGCCTCCATCGCCTGCCAGGATACCATATCAGCCAAACTAACGCAGAAGCCAATAAACTCAGGAGCCCACTGATGTGAGCTACACCCAGGTCAGGATAGAGATTAAGAGTAAAAGGCATTCAGAACAGAGTATGTCCCACAAGTGGGGACACAGATTTAAGAGCTTATGAGCTTAGTGAGCCAAAACATGAATGCACCCCTTAGAATGCA